CAATTGAGCTGTTCAGTTGCTGGGTGCTGATGAATTCGCTCATCTCACAATCAGACATTCGGTTGATACGTCCATAATCAAAAAATAATAAGTAACGAAGGAAGGATAAAAGTAATGCATACATTAAAATCGAAATATATTCTACGTTTTTTCCTCTTTCCACTTTTTTCCCATATTTCATTCCTTCCTTCCATTCTTTTTTATTTCTTTCCTTTCCTCCTTTTCTTCTTTGTGTGTCATTTTTAGTTATTTCTTTTTTCCCTCACCTCTCTTTCATTTCATTCCTTTTTTCACTTTTGTCTTCTCGTTTATCTCCACGTTTTCCATCCACGTTTCACTTGTTCAATTGTCTTTTTTTCATTTTTCGCCTTTGTTTTCTTTGACTTTCTTTGTATTTTCTCCTTGACCTATCTCGTATCTTTTAATATCCAACTTTGCCGCTTTCTGCTGCCTCCTTCAGGATGGTTCATTCGAACAACACCCAGCAGGGTTGGCAACAGGCATTCGACCAACTTGAAAGGCGACTTAGTGACTAGTCCAATGACCAGCTGAGCGGTGGCTGACTAATTAATTGCATAAATTACACTCAGTTACCCTGACCAGCAGTTGTGACTCGAATAGTGACGGCTCCAGCTGGGACATGAAAGATGGAGGTTGCAAAAGAGAGAGAGAGAGAGAGAGAGAGAGGAAGGGAGAGAGACTGATGCGGCGCAAGGGAGAGTTGTGTGTTGTGTGTTGCGTAATCACTACGACGGATCAAGTGATCGCAGGCATCGGATGCCTCACGCAGTTGCAAATCTTATTGCCATGGCAAGTGTGTGTTGGGCAAACATTTCAGACGTCGACTGAAGCCCTCAAATCTCTCTCTCTCGCTGTCGTGCTCTGTTTGTGTGCATGTGTGTTTCCCGACGTGGGCACAAATGAGCCCATGGACTTGCGCAACATGAAGTCGCGTCCAGTCGCAACTGGAAACAAGAAGAAGAGGGAAAGAGGCTGAGATGTGGTGGCTTTGGTTGACTAACGGAAGTCGTCTGTCTGGCCCATTCCAGATGGAGTAGGAAAGAGAGACATTTTCTTCAAGTGGTCTGCACGACAACTCCTGACGCCAGAAGAGGCACGGAGCGGGCCAGATTGTGTTTCTTCGCACCTGCCCCGAAGACCGTTTCCTGCTGTTAAAGTGCACAATCAAACGATGGAGGCTTCCTGTGTTCAACTGGCGAATGAGCAAATCATAGTCAGCACACCTTCGACACAGTTCTCGCCCTGCGGCTCTTCTTCCATTCGAATCGGTAGTCTTGCTACAAGTTTGTTGACTTTAAAAGCGATAAAACAGTGTGACGAACAGCCTCGTTGACCGCTCTCTTGCCACATGACGATGGCACGTTGCGAAGCCGGCGGAAGGACTGAAAGTTGACTTTTCCCACGAGCATTTCACATAGCCTTGCCTACCAAAAAGTATTCTCATCCCAACTAGACTGGACGGGATTGCAGTTTAGACCTGGCCTCAACTGGCTTCACCGGCGACCCCAGAGGGATTTGAGGCCAGGCGAGAATTTGAAAAAAAATCAGACCTCTCAAATATTGTATTTATATATATATATATATATATTTATTTATTTATAGATAGATAGATAGATAGATTCATAGATAGATAGATAGATAGATAGATAGATAGATAGATAGATAGATAGATAGATAGATAGATAGATA